TTTTTTTTTTTTTTTTGAAAAATCAATGTATATAACATCAATGAACAAAGCCAATTACTAAATTGAGACGAGGTAACCAATTGAGACAAATCTAAGTCACTCAAATCTCTTTTTCTTGTAGCTTTCGTATGTTCTCCATTACTTGTATGGATAAGACCTATATTGTAGAGTATATAACTTCCATCATAGGAATCAATTTCTAGTTGCATAGCTTCATAATAATTCTGTAAAGCTTCTGCATAATTTCCTTCGGATTGAGCTGACATCCGTTACGGTCGTAATTCAAGTAAAAGAATCTCCGTTCAGGTTCAATGGATAACGGAGATGGAATAGCGGTTGGATGGTTAGGGCACCCTATCTTTAGAGATAAAGAAGGGCGTGAACTTTTTGTACCTTCATAGGCACTCTGGAGAAAGAATGATTGCGGTCCCAGAAAGAATTATATATTTTACACCCTTACACCATTCCTTCGACTTAAAGCTCTACGGGTCTTGCACTCTTAGGTCAAGTCACTCTAATCAAGAGTCCACACTATTATGTTCCTAAAATCAAAAGTCTAAATACGACATAATCTAAAAAACCAGATGAAACTTATAATTGTGCAACCAACTCATTTTCCGGATAAGGTTTAAAAAAGATCAATGGAAAAAGTGGGCAACAACAAAAACAATTAGAAAATTTCGGTTATACAACAGAAATATTCATAAACAAAATCAGCAAAACGAAAAATTAGTTTTTCTTCACAGGAGATGAAAGATTACGAAAATCAAAACTTAAGTCCATAAATGTGTGTGTGAACTCACTACTTACCTTCAAATCTTCCACCGATTGCAGAGGTTGCAGAGAGCATTGGATCGGAACCTCTGCCAATACCAAAATTTATCACAATTACTGCATCTAATCAATCATTTACCGTACACATGCACGTAAACACACCCATTCCACACATAATCAATTTGGTTCTACAAAATTCATCTATATAAGTTAATTACCTCGCTATTATAAGCACGAAATAAAAACACGGGGGCGCGCGCGTAGCAAAAGACGAAGAATTATACACATACCCGAGAGAAGGTGAGATGAGGCACTAAAATCGGCCTGCAAATCACTCTCCAATAGCAGCACCGAAGAAGATACGTTGCCGGTTTGAGAAGCTTGTAATTCTCCTCCCTTTCCGGTTAAAGCGTTCTCAACTGTACAATCACAGCTATTATTACTACTCAATTCCGTCTGATTTTCATCTTTTTCGATTTTTTCCTTAAAAATTTCTTCCTCCTTGTTTTGCTTTGAAATTTCCATTACCGTTTCTTCAAGAGCTTTAGAGCTCTGTTTATTCTCTTCGATGGCCGGATTCCAACACACAGTCGGTGTGTACATGAGTTTTTTCCAGACAGAAGGTAAAGGTTCTGTCCTCTTTACGAACCTTTCTGCGTTTTCATATTCGATTTTAATAATAAAATCTTTATGAGCGAATTACACCTCCTTTGTAAATGACTAAATTAGGCCTCTGAAAAACATTGAACTCGGGACTAAATTGTAATTTAGAATCCGGACATTAATTCCGGGTTTGGATTTTTATTTGGGTTTCTGTTGGGTGGTTATGACTTCTGTTGACTCTAGTCTGGACTGTATTTTTACATAAATACCCTAAGAAGAGCTAAATCCATAATAAAATCAAATTGAATTAATAGGCATAAGAGGCAATTTCATTTTGGCATCGCAAAAAATCGAATATGTATATAGGGTTTGGATCTTGTAAACGGGTTCGGAGGATAGAGAAAGAGGGATGTTTGATGCCAATTTGGGTGTGGTTGACTACTAGTATTGACTAGGGTCAAGTGGATTTGATTGTGTAGTAATTAAAGCCGTAATTTGTCGGTCATATTAGTTTGGTGGGTGAGAGAAATTAGAGCAGTTTGATTTGAACATATTTTAGGCCATGTTTGGCTCACATTATTTTTTTCAATCACAAATTCTTCTACTCATTTTCAATCACACATTTTTCAATAAAATAATATTTTTCATCACATCAATAACATTTTCTTTTTTTTTCAACCACATATTTCTCATCACATCAATAGTAAAAATGCATTCTTATCTTCAAAATGTGCACCAAACGGAGCTTTAGTGTCGAAATCAAATTTTTAATAAATTTTGATAAAAATTAATAAAATATTTAGTCCTCGTTTGGTAGAAATTAAAATTTAGAATTTAATCAAAATCAACAATTAATTTTATTTACACAATTTATGTGACCCACAACTTTTAAATTACACACATCATCAATTTTTATCAAAATTTACTAAAAATCTAATTTTAATCCTCACTAAACAAGGGCTCAGTTACAAAAATTGATAAAAATTATAGATATTCTGATTGAATTTGGGTGAACGTGAATTTTAAAAAAATTGGAGCCAAATATGGGCTAAGAACTATGATTTATTTCTTTAATTCGGACAATGACATTTTCTTTATTTTCATAATAAAAAAAATTGGTACAACATTACGAGATCAAAATTATTTAAGGGTAAATTGCAGCCGCGATACCAAACCTTCTATTTTTTTTAAACTTTGCCCAACCTTTGTTTTGTGCTACCCATGGTTCCAAACCTTTAAAAAATTCGTAGCTACAATACTCAAGGATGGTTTCCGTCCGTTTGACCAATAAAATTGTTCGTTGACCCCAGAATTCAAAAAATTAATTAATTTCCAGCAAATAAACAAGGACAATTTCGGAATTACACTATTTCTCTTTTAAAATGAAATATGCCAGTTACACTCCAATCCCATATTCATTATCGAAACTCTGAAAACGCAGGAAGAAGAAGAAGACGACCGCCACGAAGAAGAAGATGAAATTGAATCAAATTTTGGAGTCCATATTCGAGGCTCGCTTCCCCAACCTGTATAAAGTAAGTGTGCACCCTGAAATCCCCATTTGCGCTATAAAACCATGCGATTACAAGCTGTGTGTATATTTTGTCGTCTCATACTGAAAAATGTGAAAATTTTGCATGAGTTGATAACTTGGAAGTTATCTTGTTGTGTAATCGATCGTTCTGTATCTGTGCATTGCTCGAACAAATAAGGGTTAGGGCTTAATTTTTTTTTTTTTCATTTTTTCAGGGGAAAATACGAAGTATTTTAGCATATACCTACATCATGATGGAACTTTGTTGGGAAAGATAACAAATTTCGAGTACGAGCATGGCATAGTAAGTTACATAGACTATGTCGATCCGGACTTCTTCAACAGATTTCTGCTTGACAATACCATGAAGATGATGAGATATTCTGGTATAGTCAGATATATGTACAAGATGGAAAATAGGAGGATTAGCGAGACATCATTCTAGTTGGTGAAAGATTTAGATTTCATAAATATGGTGAAGTGGCTTGGTGAAAAGAGGATTGCTGAAGTGTATTGCTTGCCTGTGGTTGAAGTATTGGAGTTGCCATGGTATGAAAATATTTCTGTAGTTGATTGTGAGATTGAGGAGGAGTTGCTACATTTTCAAGAGTTTAGTGGGCATGAGGCATCAGTGGTCGAGGAGCAATCATGCTATGCTGTTGAGGTTTATGATGATTCATTAGAAGGTGATGAGTCATACATTATCGANATTAGAAGGTGATGAGTCATACATTATCGAAGAAGTAGATGATTTGCAGCATGGTCAATCAGAATTAGAGGCTGGTGAAACTGATGTTCATGCTGATGAAAGTCATGTGCAGCATAGTGAATCAAATGTGAATGCCGGTGAACCTGGAGTACAACATGATCAATCAGATGTGCAAGCTGTACAAACTGAAATGGAACATGGTGAATCATTGGTGCATTCTGGGGACAATGAAGGACAACAAGGTGGACCACATTATGATGTACAATCAGAAGAAACTGAGGTGCAATAGAGTGTACTAGAGCAACCGGAAGAAACTGAGGTGCAACAGAGTGTACCAGAACAACAAGAAAAAATTGAGGTGCAACAAAGTGTACTAGAGCAACCAGAAGAAACTGAAGCACATGTTGACACTAAAATAGATGAATATGAAGAAGGTTATTTGGAGGATTTCCATGACTCGGAGTATGAGTAGGAAGAAAATATACCCAACCATAGGTTTCAGGTTGAGTAAAGGGTTTGGGATTGATATAAATAGTAGGAGTGAACAGGATGGTAAGGCAGCTCCTAAAGAAGAAATTGGAATAGATTATGACGACTCAGCTGAGTTTAGGATCTTACCCAATAACGATAAGGTTGATGGATCATCTGCCGGAGCATGAATGAGTGCTGGTTTAACCCTGCTACTGACATGGATGATCCAAAGTTCAAGTTAGGGATGCAGTTTGACAATGTCAAGGTTCTAAGGGCTACAATTGTTCAGTGTTCAGTTAAAAATTCCAAACAACTCAAATATGTGAAAAATATGAAAACACAACTGAGGGTAAAATATCAGGAGAACTGCCCTTGGGTGCTATATGCATACCAATAACCAGGTAAGAACCTCAGAATAAACACTTTCAGAGATGAGCACACATGCACCATGGTGTGGCAAAATAAAAGGGTGAATGCAGGTTATTAGGCAAATAAATACATTAGAAAGTTTAGGTCTGATCCCAATATGCCAATGAGCAATTTTGTGGAAATTGTGAAAGAAGATTGTATGTATGAGATTTCAAAGCATCAATTCTACAGGACAAGATCCAAATATGCAAAAGTGGTGCATGGGATTGCAACTGAGCAGTACAAAATTTTATAGGATTATGGAGAGGAGTTAAAGAGAACAAATCCGGGTAGCACAGTGCAAATTGAAGGGTCAGGTCCTAGCTTTAAGAGATTGTATATTTGTTTAGGGGCTTGTAAAGCGGGTTTTAAGGCTGGATGTAGACCAGTTGTTGGGTTGGATGGTTGCTTCATAAAGTCTGCACGAGGTGGACATTTGCTAGTCACTGTAGGAATTGATCCTGAAAATTG